ATGTTTTTATTGCATTCCAATTATTCATATTTATTAAAAATTAACTATGTTTTGTTTTCTACAGATGTACAGAAGAGTGAAATTCTAGGTATCGAGGAATTTCAAGAGCCTTCAGAAATTCAGGACTCAACAACAGGCAACTCTCCCTGGCATACACATGTGGACGCTGCCAAAGGTACTTCTTTACATCTGTCTCGAGGTACACCTCCATTTGTGTTCCTTTCACATGCAAGCATTTAAACTATTTTTTGGGGGGGATATTACAGGTTTGCAGGAGACCAACATACCAATGCATATCTCTAATTTAAACTTCTCACTGGAAAAATCAATGCAGATTAATGCATCTGATACTGCTGACCGATCAGCTACTTCACATGAAAGAACATTTGATCAAGGTGCACTGCAGTAACGGTTTTAGTTTTTTTGATTTTTCATTCTTTTGGGTCCCTTTTGACAATACAATTTCTTTATGCAGATTCTGTTCAAATCCTTGCCATTCGCAAGATGCCAATGAACTTCATTAAATCGGAAAGCAGCTTGGAAAATGGTGAAGAAGGTTTCCCACGTGACACTTATTCATTTGGAGGGTAAGCTGTCCATTCTCAAGGCACGCATAAATGTTTTTTTCTTTTGTTGCTCTTTTTTTTCATGACTTTACTAATTTACTGATTTGGTGCTATATTACAGACGCTGAGACAAATGGCCAAATGTCTGATACTTTGGACTGGATCCTTGCACCTGTCCATGGTGCTGCTGCTGTCCCAAACCAACGTATACCAGAGGTGGATTTTGATGATGAGATGAACTTCATTAAATCGGAAAGCAGCTTGGAAAATGGTGAAGAAGGTTTCCCACGTGACACTTATTCATTTGGAGGGTAAGCTGTCCATTCTCAAGGCACGCATAAATGTTTTTTTCTTTTGTTGCTCTTTTTTTTCATGACTTTACTAATTTACTGATTTGGTGCTATATTACAGACGCTGAGACAAATGGCCAAATGTCTGATACTTTGGACTGGATCCTTGCACCTGTCCATGGTGCTGCTGCTGTCCCAAACCAACGTATACCAGAGGTGGATTTTGATGATGAGACTCTGGCTGTGCCCATCCTCGACCAAACGGTTGATACTGACCAAGGTGTGTGGAATATTCCTCCTTTTTTCTTTATTCTCTTTGATACCTCAACTTTAAGCTTGTTATGAATTTTGATACTCATTTTCTGGTCCTGCTACAGGAAACAGAAGTGTGCTGCCGAAGCCTCGTGTAGTGCCCCTGATTGAAAAAAGGGCAGTGGTGGCTCCTGATGGTGAGTAACAGACATATTCTGGAAACTGATGGTCCATGCTTTCACAAATGTTTAATATTGATCTTACTTGCAGCTAATAACAATGTGGCATCAAATAGTGCACCGATTAAGAAAAAGAACCAGGTGGCGCCTGATAGTGAGTAACTTTTAAATTTTCAGAATACTGGCGTTGTGTAATTCTACAAATATTAATAATGTATGTACTTGCAGGAAATGGCAAATTGAATCCTGTCATGGATTCTCCCTTGAATTCACACTCAAGTAAACAAGCCAAGCAAAACAATGGTTAAAATTTTTTTATTCTGGATTTGACATAATGCATTTGCAATCAATGTATCCTTCAATATCTTTTCTGTCACAGGATCCCGCAGCTCACAAAAATCTCCTCGAGGGCCACGAACTCCCAAGAGAAGACTTGCCACAAATGAGGAGCTAATTTGGCCCCCTGCCCTTGTTGAAGCTTTTTTGAGAGAGTGCTTTAAAGTGAAGGAAGGCATGCAGCATACTGAAATAGCAACAGATACATGGAAAATCATTGCAGCTGCCCTACAACAAGCAGGTCATGATTAGAGTCACATGGCAGACTTGCAGGGGGAAGTATGCGAGCATGTTGACTTTTTTCACTGGAACACTTCTGCGCACTGGTGGAGTTTTAGGAGGTGTGAAATGCCCCTACTGGGACCTTATGTGTGAGCTCCATGATTTTCCTACTGATTACATTAAGCCGGAGGAACCAGAATATCGTAAGTTTTATTTCTGAAAATGCATGCTTCTTTCTGTGGTTTAACTTGCATTCATGACACTTAAAATATTTTCCAGGAAACTGTAAGTGGACACGTGAGGCCATTCCCTTGCTCATAAGTGGGTACAAATTGAGAATGCCTGTGTTCAATGAAACTAAATCTCATGTGCGTCATAGTACCCTTTACTTAGAAATAGCCCAGTCCATGTCGCATTTCAACTTCACTTTCAATGGCACCCAGTGTAAAGATAAGTTTAATGACTTAAAAAGTGAGTTCTTCAAAGAATTTGACGGACAGGGTGGGACTGGTCAGGGTCCGTCCACTTTCGAGTATTACAATGAAATGGAAGACATATTTAAGGGGACTGCCACCCTGCATCCCCCCTTCCTATACTCAAGTGGCAGCAGCAAGTACAGTTCGAGAAGGTGAGGCCACATCCTCAACTGGCACCAGGACAAGGGTAGCATCGCAGCATGAGCCGAAGAAGGAGAGCCATGGACCAAAGAATGGAGGAAGGAATAAGGCCACTTTCAAATCAAAACAAACAGAGATTCAAGAGCGGAGGTTGGAGCAAACAGATACATTTGTTGAAGAATTTCGATTGATGAGACAGGTATTTTCCCAGCAGGTACAAGTGCTGCAACAATTGCCAGGAAAGAACAATTGATTTGCCTCTTGTCACTACTTTCGCTTGATTTCATTGTAGTACCTGTGGCAGCCAGCCAAGAATTTTTTTATTGTGTTTCCTTATGTTCTTCAATTTTGTATAGGGTAAGGTTACCAAACATGGATCACTTTTTAAATTATCTTCTCTAGATCGAAATTAAGTATGGGTTGGCCACTATTTTTGAATATATTATTGATGTTTACCTTACTGGTCATATGGCTACCAAAAATGGTACCTCTAACTCGAATACTTTGGAAGTTGTGAGGACAAGAAAATATGGCTATTTTTGCTAAGATTAGGTTAAGGTGGTCCAATCATGGATCACCCCACCAGCGTACGGACACAAAGCAAGGTATGCATCCAGTAGTCCAAAAATATCAAAGTAGTCTGTCCAAAGTGCACGATGAAAAATTTTGAAGTGACTGCGGTGATTGCTTGGCCCAGAATCAGGGGTGCAAAAATTACCTTTTTGAACGTCATTTTTCCATCGATTTTCGGGGGCCTGTTTTAGGTGTCTTTCTAAACGCAACCCTGCAGAGTAGAGAGACGCAGTTACAAACTTGTCAGATTAACATCGAACAGTCAAAGGGTCAGTCTAAGCAAGGAAAGACAGAAATTTAGAATCTGGTCAACTGGTCTTTAGTTATAGACCCCCAAACAGAAATGATCCATGTTTGGTACCCCGATCCATGTTCGGCACTTTACCCTACTCATCCGAATGCTGATATGCAGCTGCGCGGCAGCCATCATCATCATCTCGAACTGTGGTAAAGTTTGCAATGCAATTTGCATAGCGAGTCTTTCAATGTCCTGATTTTGGTCCATCGTGCAATGGTTTACATAATACGGAAAACACCCGGCACAGTCAACCAAGATAGGCCTCAACAGAAATGACAACTGTAACCAATGAACCAAATCCCTAAACTGATGCCGAAGCCGCCTCCAAACGCGAAGGTTCGGAACTCAATCTGAATCCGACGGCAATGACCCGAACCAAGCCGAACAGCCGATCTCTCCCGAGCCGATTCCCCCACCACTACTCTCGATCCACTCCCTCGGGCCACGCTCTCGCTTCCTCGCGCCCGCGCTAGGGGCCGTCGACATTTGCGACTTTTCGATTTTGACAACGGAATAGCACTCAAAAGTTGCGTTTTTTAATGCTGATTTCAGATCTGTCCTCGGTTTTGCGATCAGACAAAGCTTTGATGACCCTACCGGCCGTTTTATGCAAAAAAGCGGTGTTTTTCATGTTTTTACTGTGTTAAGGCTCCCGGACAGCTTCCACGTCGTCGGCCAAGGTAGGTGACCGTTGAGTTGTCTTCAGTAGCATAAAAGACAACACTCTGAGCCACGAGGGGTCGTGGGTCACCCCTCTAATGTGCCAAAGACCTGAAAAACTGAATTTTTTTGGTCGAAAATCACTCAATTTTTACCATTTTTTCACCGTTTATCGTCTATTACGAGAGCCCACGGGCCCGAGGTCATAACTTACGCAGACCAAAAGGTGTCACTGGGTATAAGAAAGGTCACCCAGCCCCTGCCCGGGCCCGGGGAGGCGCTGGGGCAGCGAGAGAGGCGGTGTCGAATATGTTCAAAATGACCAAAATAAGCTGATCGGCCGCCTGGGACAGGCTGTGTAGGGGATGGGAGCGTGTCGCCGCGCCGGTCACGACGCTTCGCCCGCTGCCCGCCCAGCCGGCCTGCTAGCCAGCCGGCCTGCCAGCCCGTCGGCGCTGCGTAAGCCTGCAAGAGGGACAGAGCGACGGGAGCTGCAGGGCGGGCAGGCTGAAAGCGTTTCCGAAGAATCCATCGCTGCCTCTGTCGCACCCCGGAGGCAGAGCGACGGAGTGCTGCTGGCGCGTGTTGAGTTTGAGTTGCCTAGGCACAGTGAGGCAAGGCGTCAGAGTCGGCGGTGACCGCTGCAAGCGTCGTGCCAGCCTGGCATGGTCGACATGAGCCCCGATGGCCTGAGCCCCGGCCGAGCCCGACTTCAGCGCCGACACGAGCACTGACTGAGCTACGATGGCCAGAGCCCCGAACTGAGCCCCGGCCGAGCCCGACTCGAGCTGCGATGTCCAAAACCCCGACCTGAGCCTGTTTTGAGCCCCGACCTGGGCCTCATTTGATCCTCATTTGAGCCCCGCGCCTAAAAAGTAAAAATTTTCAATTTGAACCAAAATCTTTGAAGAACAATTCAAAAATGGAAGTTTTTTCGGCGTGGGGCTCAGATGGGACTCACGTCGGAGCTCAAACCACGCTCCCATCCCCTACACAGCCTGTCCCAGGCGGCCGATCAGCTGATTTTGGTCATTTTGAACATATTCGACACCGCCTCTCTCGCTGCCCCAGCGCCTCCCCGGGCCCGGGCAGGGGCTGGGTGACCTTTCTTATACCCAGTGACACCTTTTGGTCTGCGTAAGTTATGACCTCGGGCCCGTGGGCTCTCGTAATAGTCGATAAACGGTGAAAAAATGGTAAAAATTGAGTGATTTTCGACCAAAAAATTCAGTTTTTCAGGTCTTTGGCACATTAGAGGGGTGACCCACGACCCCTCGTGGCTCAGAGTGTTGTCTTTTATGCTACTGAAGACAACTCAACGGTCACCTACCTTGGCCGACGACGTGGAGGCTGTCCGGGAGCCTTAACTCAGCATTAATAAAACGCAACTTTTGAGTGCTATTCCGTTGTCGAAATCGAAAAGTCGCAAATGTCGACGGCCCCTAGCCCGCGCCCTCGTGAAGGCGCGTTCTTAACTAAATAAAGCTTCTAACTAAGACAGATCCTTCTCTAAGACAGATCTTTCTCTAACTAAGACAGATCTTACTCTAACCGCGACAGATCTTACTTTAAGACAGATCTTACTCTAACTAAGACTGACCTTACTCTAACTAGGGCAGATCTTACTCTAACCGCGACAGTTCTTACTCGAACCGCGACAGACCAGCCCTATTCGCGGCAGATCTAACCCAGCAGAAGCTGATACTTCGCCCACCCCGGAGCCGAGTTTCGGGCTAGTGACAATTCGGGTTAGTGAACCACTTATTCCACAGACGTGGCCTTCGGGTTAGTGACAATTCGGCCAAGTGACAATTCGGGCTAGTGAGACACAACCATAATATTGCAAAAGGACGGAACTACTTCAGGAAATTCGTGCTAGTGATAATTCGGGTTAGTGACAATTCGGGTTAGTGAAACTGCCTTGTGGGATGTTCGGGCTAGTGATAATTCGGGCTAGTGAAGATTCGGGTTAGTGACATTTCGGGCAAGTGATAATTCGGGTTAGTGAGTCGCTCTCACTCAGCCGAATTCTCACTGGGCCGAATCCCCACTGGGCCGAAATGCCACTGGGCCGAATTGTCACAGAGCCGAATATGATCATGCTTGTGCTCTAGCCACGTGTCACTCGGCCGAAATCCCACAGAACCGAATTCTCACTTGGCCGAATGTGCAGACCATCTTCAAATGTGAGCGTTTCGTGTCACTCCGCCGAATGCTCACGGAGCCGAAATCCCACTTGGCCGAAAGCAAGCGAAAAAAAATGTCGATCCCATTCAGCCGAAATCCCACTCAGCCGAATGCTGCAGATGGAGAGCCGATGAGTAGCACTAGTTCAAAGGCTCACTCGTATGGTTGTCTAACAGAGCCGAAAGTTACACAGCTGGCGTTGAGCAGTACCTAAAAGTAATGGGTTGCCACCCATCCTAACCTAACCTAACGGGCTCGCGGTAGATCTTACGCTACTCGCGACAGATCTTACTCTACTCGCGACAGATCTTACGCTACTCGCGACAGATCTTACGCTACTCGCGACAGATCTTAGGCTACTCGCGACAGATCTTAGGCTACTCGCGACAGATCAGATCTTAGGCTACTCGCGACAGATCTTAGGCTACTCGCGACAGATCTTAGACTACTCGCGACAGATCTTACGCTACCGTGCGAGTTCTTACGCTACCCGCGACAGATCTGACGTTATTCGCAGAAGGGTTTCGGCTGAATGTGAATTCGGCCCAGTGAGACACAATGCACAAACATCACCAAGCTTATAATTTCGGCCCTGTGGGAATTCGGCTGAGTGAGAATTCGGCTCAATGAGATCGCAGTCTTCTTTTACTCGTTTTCGGCGCAGTGGCATTTCGACGAAGTGAGATTTCGGCTCAGTGGAACAGTAAATGAATTAGTATTGTCGTGTCGGAGTTTCGGCTCAGTGGCATTTCGGCTTAGTGACATTTCGGCTCTGTGGGCATTCGGCTACTTGAGATTTCGGCTGAGTGAGGTTCTCCCGCCACTCGCCGCGCCAGTCCCCACTCCTCACAGCCACTCCCTCCCTCCTTGCCCCCTCTCTGCCCGGCTTCCCCGGCCGGTCCACGGCAAGACCGCTTTGCTAAGCTTGCCTTGGCGGAACTTTTTTTTTGATGTAAGGGGATCAAGTTATTATTTTTTCTGTATTAAAACCATTTTAGATCAATGAGTAAGCTTCATTTTGGCATAAAGTAAAGTGACTTTGGACACTTTTTGGAAATTTAGTAGAATCGTTTAAGATTTTGGTTCTCGTAATATTTTGTTCGCATACTTGCTCAGATCTGTGGGGTACCGTAAACCGGGGTAACTTGAGACAGCAAGAGTAACTTGAGACACTTCTGCTTTTCCTTCTTTTTGGAGCTGCTACCTGGCTCGGCACATTCGGAGGTCAAAACTGCCCTAGCACTTTTTTTCATACTTGTTTGGAAAGACGATTAAGCGTGTGAAGGGCGGGTTGGGACCAAGCTGGTCAGTTCTATAACGATTTTTCAATTTTAGTAAATTTAACAATTTTAGAGAAGTGTTACAAGTCTCCCTTGGTACTCGAAACACGTCTTGCTGAGGCCCAAATGACTGTAGTACCTTTCAACCCTATTATTTCAACATTCTAAATGCAGCATTGGTTTTTAGGGAAAGCCATCATTCATCGGGTAATACTGACTTTTATAGAAAATGGTAACTGTACGGGGTAACTTGAGACACCAAATTTCATTGAATTTCACGGAAGTTGAGTGGCGTAACTTGACTCTGGCACCTCCTTGTACTACAGGGTGGTTTAAAGTAACAGACCTCTCCGTTCTAAGATCAAAACTAAGCCGCATTTGATCGGGAATCACTTTTTTAGACAGTGTAGAGGGTCCCAAGTGGATATGCAGCTTAAAGTTGGAGTGTTTTCTCAACTGCACACGGACCAGATGAGATATAATCAATCTTGAAGTCTCAAAAGATGGGGACTTTAATAACCTTTCCAACGAGCTAAATGTCATTGAAATCGGACAACTTATAGCCCAAGAACAGTCGATTTTTTGAAGAAAAACAACTGTAAAAATAGTTAAAGGATTTTGAGTAAATTTTAAAAGTTGACCAAGACTTTATACCTTTGCAGGAATGGACTTGTGTTCATAGAAATTAAGAAAAATGTCTAAACAGGTGTCAGGGTTGGATGTGAAATGAGAGAATCGCTGTACTTAATTGACAGGGTTGGATGTGAAATGGGAGAATCGTTGCGCTTCTGAAGTGCCGTTATCCCTCAAATTACCAAATGTAACCTGGATGAAAAAATCTGAATATATGGATCAAAAATCTTCTAATATGTTCCGCAAGTAGTACCTTTCATTGAAAATGAGTTAAATGTCTCAGAAAATCAGTATGGACTGGCAAAAAACCCACTTCCGTGAAAAAGCAAAGTAAAAACTAGGTGTGTCTCAAGTTACCCCAAATGACGGGGTAACTTGAGACAACTTTAGAGGCCCGTTACTCTTATTTTAGGAGACCCCAAAAAAATTCGTGGGGTCCAAACCGAATGTTATCATGTGAAATAAAACATAGTTGGGATTCGGGTTGGTGAGCAGTTTTGTGGACACACGGTCCAAAAAACGTAAAATATTGTCTCAAGTTACCCCGGTTTACGGTATAACAGGAAAAGTAGCGATATACATCGGCAACTTTGGCCCGTCCCGCACATTAAGGTGAGGTGTGGGTGAAAATTTGGACCAAAATTCATTAAAATCATAAATTTAATCCACTTGTTATTTTAATGTAAAATATTCTTCTATTACCGACAGCATGTTCTTAAAGTCTGTGTTATGGACCCCTAAGTGAGTGGTTCATCTAACATGGACTGATTTATGCATGCCCCTTTTCTGGTCACCCAACTCTTACGACAAGTGTCGAAGGAATTTTTTTTTTACTCCGGCAACTAGCCACGCATACAGTTTTGTTTTATACTGACCATACTTCTTGTAGTGGTTCTTTGTGGTCCATGTAACAATGTAACAGAGAGATATTTCAAATAGCCATCCACTTTCTGAAATCGTTCAGCTTAAAGTGGTAAAAAATGGAGAAAAAATCTTATTTTTTGCAATTAAAAAATTGTGAAGCTTGCTCAGTCAAAACAAAAAAATAAAATGCAAATATCTCTCTGTTACATTAAAGTATAGGGGTTTAGGTAACTCCATAACAAATTTCAGATCATTCCGTCAAAAAACTTTGCGTGGCTGATTTTTCTACTAAACGCTTGATTTCAATGAAAAAAGCCTACTGTGGCTAAATGAGTGGGTGGATTTGGATGAAATTTGGTGAGTAATAGTTTCCTACCTAGTACTTAAACGCCCTGAAGTTTCAACCACCACAGCCAAGTGGTATAGAAGTTTCCGTTTTCACCCACACCTCACCTTAAGAAATTTGCGGATTTCGCCTGTGTCTAACCCTGACGGGATTTGACCCTGAGTCTGGGGTCAAAATAGATGTTATTTTCGTCATCGGCACCCTCAAAAACATCAAAAACAATGCAAAAACTCGAATAAAAAGAATGTTCAAATGTACCCCACTGGGATTTGAACGTCGCCCTGATTCCAAAAATACCCCTACATGCCCTGCTAGCTGTATCCGTTGCCGAAATCTTCCTCGACCCTTTGTAGACCATGAAGCACCTGCCGCAGCGCCCCCGAGGCTCGGATCGGATTTGGTGCCACCGGGCGGACGGACGGACGCACAGCATGCACCATACTATATGCCCGTCCCTCCGTCATTTTTTCTTTTCAAAAATTACACGGGACGGGCCAAAAAATCAGGGTGACTCATCTCTAGTACTGTCATAGAATTGACTAGAATGGGCCTCTTATATGCAATAGTTTTAAGAACAAAAAATTAAAATCATTTTTGGCCCGTCCCGTTTATTTTTTGTAAAACAATGAAACAATGTAAAACAAGGGGCGGCCATATGGTATGTTGCATGCTATGCGTCCGTCCGTCCGAGGACTTCCCCTGGTCCGGTCTTGACCAAATTTGGTGTGCAGCCTCCTTAGGTGACCCTAAGAACAAGAACCGCCCGGTGGCAGCAAACCCGATCCGAGCCCCGGGGGCGCTGCTGCAGGTGCATCATGGTCTACATGGGGTCGAGGAGCATTTCGGCAACGGATACAGCTAGCAGGGCATGTAGGGGTATTTTTGGAATGGGGCGACGAGACAAAACCAACGGTGCCAGTTTCAAGCGAATCTGAGAAGTTTGGACCGGGTTCAAATCCCAATAAAGTATATTTTGAACATTCTTTTTATTCGAGTTTTTGCATTGTTTCGTATGTTTTTGAGGGCACTGATGACGAAAATAACATCTGTTTTGATCACAAA